GTCGTTGTGAGGGGGCGGGGGGGGTGTGGCTTCGACCGTATATCTATTATCCGTGGGCGGCGGCGGCCGATGGTGTGGATGAATGGGGGGGGGGGGGTGGCGGGGCGGCTGAGGGCTCAGGTGTCAGAACACACCAAAATATCCTACTATTAGTAAACAATAACAAACTGCATTATGCGCAACATATTAACCGAAGGAAAAGCTTTTTCGTTCTTTTCCATAAGGAACGGCGTTTTCTTTTACGTTTGCTAACAGGCGGAACTTCTGTACTAGGTTCGATAGGTTCGATATCAGAAATGTGTGGTGAAATTGGCATAGGGATGTCCTCTATTCCTATAATATCTGTAGGCGGCAAGTTTAATAAAATATTTGGCATTGATAAACACCCTCTTGCGGGTGAACGGGTAAATTCGGAATGGTCTTCAGTGTTGTCATCCGAAATCTGCGACGAGGAATCAGGGGACGGGATCTGGACTTCTTCGGGTGGGGCCATCAATCTGGCATTTACTATGGCCATCAATATCCTAAACTGCGGCCCGGAGCAATTTTCCAATTTAATCAGTTGATTACAATAAGTTGGTGCTATTGGTGGCTGTTGCACTGGGACTTTGACGGGTTTAACTTTAACACCATCACGGCCAGTTGTCAAAATACTAATATTTGGCATCGACTTACTATATGTTCTTTCTTTCGGGAGTACTTGGCTTTCCAAAACTGTAATTGGTAAACTGCCGAATTTTTCTGCCGAAATAGTGTTAGATGAAGTCGCAGTAATCATTATTTTGTTTCTCATACTATCGTTCATCGTATTAAAATGTGAATAAAATAATATGTAGATTTAAAAAGTTAGAACAACCGTACGGTGTGTTTTCTGAAACGATATTAAATGCAAACAGTTATTTCACAAGCATTTTATACCTCAATACTATATGGTTGACAATAGCAACAATATGTTTTAAATTATTTATTTGTTTAATTAAATATCGCCAACTAGGCAAAAATAGTCCATAAATAATCAAAGAACAGACAACAGAAAATAAAATATAAAATATCGATTAAAATTTGGACTCAAGTGTTCAGAGAGTTGTATTTTTATATGCGTTACCTTACTTTCTCTGACTATCCTAACAAATACTCTGCTGCAAATCAAGTATAGTGCTTGATCACAATATACTAAATATTATTATAGTTTATATATTAAATTAGCTCTGATGAAACATTTTTTTTTTTTAAATATTTAAAAAGCATACAAAAAAATACTGTTTAGTGAATAATAAAGTTAATAGTTGAGTATTGACTGACTATTGAAAAAATGTACATTAAAATTCTAATACTTAAATAATGAAATGTTTAAAAAAAGAATATAATACGGCCGTTGATAAATATAGTCAACGTGGACGTTAAAAATTGTCCTGATGTATTGGGGGTGTTATAAATATGAAATTCCAAAACTGTTCTCAGTTTGGGTTTTCTCCACGATTCCGAGCGTGAGATTAATATTTTTCTTGCAGGTTATCTTGCCGTCGGATAAATATAGCTTTTGTCTATCACTCGATTCTTTTTTTTCGCAAAATATTTAATATTTATTTGTTTACGTTTAAGATTTTTAGTGAGTCAAGGAATGCATATATTCTGAGCTTTTACAATGATTTTGATCATTATTATTTTATTTCATGAACAAGATTTTCATGGATTAATGACACGGGTTCAAAAATATCCATGTATTCTTTTTATAAATTAATAATATACGTACATCATTAATAGATAAATAGATACTTTATATACTTTATATTAGTTAATCGTTATTACTTACATAAAATTGTGCATATATTATTATTAGGTATAATTATGTTAGCGTTAAAACGGTTTTAGATCTATGAATATTTGGATTTTCACCGGTAAATAAAATAATTCAAATTTTTAATATATAAAAAAGCCTGTGTATTCACGGATTTCAAACTGTTTTAACGCCTTTATGAAATTAATTTTAAAGTTCTATATATATATATATATATATGCAGTCGTTAATGGAAATTAAGTTAGTTTTGGAGTTAGGTAAATAAACACCTTTTTAATTCACATTAGGTTAATGAGCATTAATTATTTAATTCGATCAAAATCAAATTAACTATAACTTTGGATTAAAAAAATGCATATAAACATCAAACAGCTTGCAAATGTTTATTTTCTATGTACATTTTAAAATAAAAATTATAATAATATACACCGATAACCTGTTACTTAAAAATTTACATTTTATCATTATTAGACAATAAATTATAGATTAGGGGTGATTAAACTGCAGCTCTTGTCATAAACTTATATGGCTCGCATTTTATCGTAAGATACAAACTTAATACAAAAAATTAATTTCAATATGAATTTATGAATTTATGTATTTGAACTTTGAAGAAGTATAATATTTTATTAAATTTCAATTTATAGAAAAAATTTACAAAAAAAGGTGTTTTTGATATAATATTTAAATATGTATTTATTTTTATTTTTAATTATTATCATATAGATATATTTTTCGCATTTTATATATTTTATTACAATTGATATATAATTATCTTTTTTTACGATAATCATATACATACAGTAATATGAATTTTTTTATTTTGGGTCTTCTATATTTATTAATATATTGGGTGGCTCGTAACTCGTAAGTATATTCTTGCTGGCCACCTCTGTTATAGATTAAAAAACATTTTGATCAAATTAACTTAAAATTAAATAAAATTCTACAGCTTAAGGTGTAGGTAGGCACGTAAAAAGCGTTAATGCATTAAATATTACACATTATAATATGATCGTTTTTTTTTTTATTTATTTTCTAGACGTATAGAAAATACGTTTTTTTTTCATCTTCCTTCTTTTTGAGATATACAATCTTCATTGATATAATACATAATATTAGTATTCTCTGTTTAAATGATACATATTACATAGTATAACTTTTAGGTAACTGTACTCAAAAAAAATAGTGAATTCTTAAACAAAGAGAATATTTATTTTATACGATTACACAAAAAATTCTACAGAGAGGTCAGTGAAATGTATACATGCGTAAAAAAAAATGTTTGAAGAAATATCAGGAAGTGCAAATTTGCCCAGCTTTTTTGGAATAATTTTAGTGTTGCTGTTTTAATTTATTCTTAACACACCGCTAATTTTGTATTAATATGACCAAAGTGAGTTGAGCACCCGTTTGAATTTTTATTTTTTATTTTAATTATACTGTATCGTTCTAAAATTCACGATAATTATAATATATTTTAATGATACGAGTAATATTGTTATGAGTAATGAGAATAATAATTGTATGTAGTAATGATATGTTTATTGTTTCATTATAATTTTTTTTCGTATATATTCGTAAATATAATTTTGCTGTACATCGAGATTTTTAAGAGAATTAGAAGACAGCGACAGCAGCGTTATTAAAAAATTAAGAATGATAAAACCATACGGAGCTGATCTTTTAGTAGAGAAAATTGAATGCACGAACCACATTTTGCGAAATTAATCGATTCGTCTTAGGGATTTTTCTACTAAAAGGAAAAGTTCATCTGGAAATATTGTACCCGGCTTTATCAGAACGAAATTAAAAGAAAACTTATTGAGATTACGGTAAGTAAATAATTTTGATACCTATATTTTATATTTGAATATACATTATAACATTTATAACATTATAACACGAAATATATATGCTTTACTAATTTGTAAAATAGACAATAATATTTATGATATATCTATATATTGTACCTTATATGTATTTTGCATAGTTTTGCTGTTTCAGAGGCGATAATGTATAAAAAACAGATGAATATACCACACCATGAAAAAGTCAAACAATTGAAGACTGATACATTGAATGGACCTTTTCTTGAATTTGGATCTCATGACAAATGCGACGGGTATAATAATTAATAGATATTTTGTATCATATATTGCAATTTTAATTTGTATCTAGGTATTTTTGTACGGGTAGTAAATCTAATGAGATTGATTTAGTTTTCGAATTACAAAATATTGTGGTGTATGGAATGATTTGATATCAGCTGTAAATTTAGTGGCATATCATGCTAATAGTTTGATACATCATGTAAATAACAATTATGTTGAAGGTTACAATAGTATAGTTGCAAAATATGTTGGGGGTAAACGCATCAACTATTCGTTTAAAGGTAAATATTTTATTTCATGTACTTACATGAAAGCAAACATTGTGTACATTGTGTACAACAACCACAGATATATACTAATACTAGATAGCCGTCTTCGTATACACCGCCGCAAAATAATTGAAACCGACGGCCGACGCCATATGCAATGAATACAACTCGGTAAACAAACGTTATCAATATTAGACTTTTATCAGTATAATACATATTATTATATTATAGACATTTATTTATATCATTGTATTACTTAGTACTTACCTATATTTTATTATTTCTCACTTTTTCAGTTCTCTGTTTTATAGTATTAGACAAAACTGTTAATTAACCTATACAGTATGTATTTATACTAATCTACGTAAATTTGGGATATAATTAAATTGTAATGTTTTATGAATTATGAAATATGAAATAAGGGAACATTGTCAAAAATACTAGGATATAAATTACAGGTACTACCTAATTATAATTACTTATATTATTAACAAAAATAACAATTAGTAAACAGTAGGTAATACAAATATAAGTAGGTAGGCACATACAACATTATTATAAATATATTATTAAACAAACTTAGTTGTGTATAAAAAAAGGTAGTTACATGATATTATTATTATTTAAAAAAACGATGAATTTGTACACTTAGCAAAAAAACGTAAAGTAAGTGTTCATATAATTATTGATTATAAAAAAGAATAGTTTTTGTTAATTTTTGGCGTTTACTCACAGGGTTTAATAAGTCTGATGATGAGAAATGCTGTTACATTATTTTTTAATTAGTTATTCTATAGAATACACTTATAAAAAATACATTTTATGATTTTACATGTTCTCTTTTGGTTGGGTATAGTTATAAAGAACAACATTATTAAATCATTTTATCACAAGTCATTACTCATGTACTTTAAAAATTAAGTAGTTATTTTAAGAAAACATTTTTTTTTTATACCTATGTTTTTTAAATTATCTAAGAGCCCTTTCATATTCTTTATTGTGGCTTCTCGTCTTCTTAATTTTTGTTTTAAAAGCCGGATTTGTTTTTTGTACTTAGTTGGAGTACTAGTTGGAATTTTTGGTGACACAGGGAAACTAATTTCTGAACGCATTTTTTTTGATGGAGTAATTAGTACAGGGGAACTTGTTGCTTTTGGCATCTTAGTTTCTGTCCATGACCAAACCCATGACTTGTCTTTATTATCATCATCACTTGACGATAATAATAGTCGCTTTCTTGTTGGTGTTGTAATTAAGACATCTGACTGATGCATAGGTGATTCACTGGATATTGAAGCTGTAGATAGTATACAATTTTTTAAAATTAACTAAATATACATAAAACATGTTATTAAATGTTGATAATGATTAATGATTTACTTGATGCTACAGGTATGCCAGGAAAAACTGATGGCACACTATTGGGCTTAAGTTTCAACTTGTAACTGCCTCCTGGACTATTAACAAAATCTGTTTTTAAAAAATGGATGTTACATATTCGGCTCGACTTCTTTGGTATAAATCCTTGACGATTTATAGCCAACATCCATTTTTCCAAACGAATTCCATCATTAATTGGAAACCTAGATATAATATTTAAATTGTATTTAGATATCTACTCTTGTTTCAAAACATAAAAAATTTTGAATTGTACATACGTAAAAAAGTGGAAATCGCTATCAGTACTTCCTCGAGATTTGCAATTTGGAACAACGCAACAAGTAGGCATTATGAAGTTGTAAAAAAAATGTATAATAGCTATAAATTATAATTTAATTTACTATTTACCAATGATAAGTAATTTATTATTCAACTAGAATACTGAACGACTGAACAGAATATCATAATATTATTGTTGTTGTTTACTAAGTGATAACGTTTGTTTACCGAGAGTATTCTTTGCATATGGCGGCGTGTTTCACTGATAACAAGAAGACTGCTATCTAGTATTAGTGTATATCTGTGACAACAACGGGTATGTTATTTTTGCTAATAGCCCACATAATAAAATAATGTGTTCTCAGAATCTCCGCCCTCACCGTTCCCCACCAGTGAGATGGTGTCACTAACACTAATGATTAATTACTACGCACACACTTGTAAGCTTGCACGCGCCCTTTATATTATTGCCTATACTAAACTCCTTAGAAATGTACGTTTGCAATCCTCTTAATAGTATTTATTAATGTTATTATATACCATTATAAGTATGGCAGTCAATAAGGGTTTCATACAATTATAAATTGTTTGATCATTTGTCATTAATTTATATTTATAAATTAATTCTTCAATAGTAGGTAAGAGATGTTCAAAATATATGTTAGTATCACCTTGAAGTAAATCCAAACTTATTAAAACTGGCCCCATTATTGTTTGATATTGACACATAAAATCAATATTAGTTCTATTAAATCTGAAAAAATTATTTATAAAAAACATAAATAATTAAATATTAATAAATTAATATTATATTGTTAGAATTTATAAATTACCTAGCATTACCCAATTCATTCATTACAATTCTAAATTTGGGTTCATTATTTTTTATTAATTTATTAATCAACATCACCGCATCATACAATGAATTTCAACGTGTTTCGTTGGGCGTGATTAAATAAACGCCAAGATTTTGTTTAACTAAATCAGCTGATTTAGTTAAGCGACCTTGTTTATTCCACAAAGTGATAGATCTGGCAAGTGTTTCTAGATAGTTTTTTAAAAGCAGGATTAGACAAAGTTTTTTTAGAGTCCTGGAAATAAGTTACACAAATAAATTATTTTATTTGTACAAATCTGTAATATATAATAAAAAAAAATTAAACAAACATAATTTAATGATATTTAAGACTGGAATTTAAATAGATAATATTTAATGTCAAGCATAACTTTACTCATATCGGAGAATATTTTGTTATATTTTTATCATTTAAACTATTTAAAGTTTAAACTGACAAAAAAAAAAAAAAAAAAATGTACTTATTTAAATATGTATTTTATATCTAAAGAGTATTTTAAGACTGCTAAATAAATATTCATTATTATTATATTCAAAACCCAATCTTTTCTATAAAAATATTTTGTATTTTATTTAGCAAAATTATAAATAACAAATTCTATATTTTATAATTTAAATATTTCAGGTTAACTACTTAAAAACATTTTTAATTACCACTGTTGCAATTAAATTAATTGTATGTGTACATCATCGATGGTGTTTAAGTAAAGTATATTGCAAATCAAAATCATTGTCTTCATCATTTAGAATGTTCAAGTTTATTACATCAATTTCTTCTAAATCTTCATTTATTGAATCGTTCACTGGTAATCTAATAAAACTTTCAGCATTTTCATTACCAAATATATGACCAGATATTCTAAACAATAAAAAAAACTATAGTGGTTAAAACAGGGTTAACTAAATGGATTTTGTTAGAAACAAATGTTATGAGCAATAATTACAAATTAATAATTAATTACTCACTTAAAACATTTTACAAAATTAGAACCATTGTCAGTAGTACAATAAGATAATTTACCTGAAATCTCAAACTGAATGTATACTGCATCCATAGCTTTGGCTAATATATCAAACGTATGTGAACCTTCTAGTCGATTCAATGCTAAAATACGAGTACTTCTTGAAAAATGTTCATTAATCCACATGACAGTTATTCCAATGTATGATCTAACAAAATATAATATTAAATTGGTATAATAATAGATAGGCATGTAACTTGTTAAATTAAATTAAACAAAACAATTTTACTTTTTAAAAATCGACCAACCGTATGCAACCATAGCAATATGGGGACATTTGGACATCTCAAATTTCATTTGTAAGGATAATTCTTGAAAATCACTCAATTTTTTTCAATAATGTAGGCCGAGAAATAATTTTTTTGTTTGGAAAACCTTCAGAAATTATTTCCTTTAAAACTGGATTTTCAATAATTCTAAATGGTACATTAGCACTCACAATAAATTGTTGCAGTAGTTGATCTAAAGTAGGTACCTGAAATTAAAATTATAAAGTACTATGATAAACAATTTGTAAGTATTAATAAGTAATAAGTAATTAATAATTAAAAATTAAAAATTATTATTTTTCACTTGATAGTAAAATATATTTGTATGTTTATGTTTGTCAAATTTCTGTTTAAATGTATAAAGAATAATATTGTATAGGTATATATTAAAATAAAAATTTGTTAAAGCTCCAATATAATAAATCAGAATTAAAAGTAGGTAGGTAATTAAATCATAACACTAAAATATCTCAACATATCATGCACGTTGTAAATCAATAACTGTACTTTTGTTTTAATGACCTAACTTGAAAGTGCAATAACTAATAACTATTTAATAGGATAAAAAAAAAAAAATAAACAATTCATATTCTTACTTTGACTAGTTAACTTTTTGTTCTTCAAACAATCTTCTAAAACTGGTTGTTTTGTCTCGTTATTTTTATCTGATTGCTTTAAAGAATTACAAGCATTATTCTTCAATGATCCATCATTAGATCTTTTTGAAATGTTTTTGTTTGCTACATTATCAATTGTTTTTAATAGATTTGGATGTTTTGTCTGAATACAATTAAATAATATAACCTTTAACTTTTAACAAATAATTTATATTTTTGTAAGTAAGAACTAAATTGTGTATTTGTGTGGTATTTAAAATTAATTTAATACACACAAGACAGATAGTGCTTACGCTTAAATGTTTTCTTAAATTACAGTTGGAACGTGAATCCACCTAACACTTTGTACCGACACAAATTAAGCACTTAACTTCCAATTTTTTATAAAAAAAAATTATCCTCAATGACTCTCAATACTTTAAAATATTTTTGAAAATTTGCCCATGGTAAAATTGGTTCTCCTAAATCTGCAACCTGATCTACTTCGTTCGAAGAATTACAATAACTCATTGTATTAACCAAGCAGTTTTAATATCGAACCGTTTGCTGCTATTAATTTTACACTATCCATTGGTTTTGGCTTGATTTCTAAAGGTAAGTTATCAACATCAATTATACACATGGTAGCCCCAGTGTCTATTACAAAATTATATTGTTTATTATTAATATTGCATATTACCTCAAGTCTTAGACCTGGTTCAAATGTAGCCGGATTACATGTCGTAATATACTTATTTATTGTATTGTCATTAGTTTTTCGTTTTTCAGCTATTATTTTTTTATACTCATAAGTCATATTGAATACTATTATAGTTGCTAGATGTTGATATTTTATTTTCATTTTATAAATTACTTATATTATAATCGTCTATGTCAATTTTATTTTGCTTTTTGTTTTGTTTTATGTATTTTTTAAATTTTTGTGTCGGAAACGAGATCACATCGTTTTTAAATTTTTTTCCAATTATTGAATCTAACAATGCTATATTACAATTTTGTGTTTCGGTAGAACTTTTTTTGTTGGCACAGAGGGAGCCTAACCGCACTCTCTCGATTTAAAAGTTTTTTTGATTAGTTTTATAAAACGAAGCTTTATTCGTATTAATTTTATTATCAAACATTTGATTATTAGATTGTTGATTTGTGACATTATTTACGTCTACATTTTTACCTGTGAGCCGTATTCAATCGATTTTGATAATTAATAAATTGTGCTCAGTTTAGGACGTTTTATAAGAAAAAATATAATTGAAAAAGTCACTATCACCACCACGCATACCTATATCTGTGTATTGTTACGCGCTGGATTTTTTTCATATGCATCTACTTAATGGATGTCGTATGATGACTGTAGTATGTAAATATAATGTCATTGTTAATAATGGTCGTATATATATGAGTATTAATATAATATACAAAATTTAAAACGATCAAGTATCAAAGATATAATATATTTCGAACCGTGGTGGTGATAATGACTATACATTACCTTTAATATATGATTTTTTTTAAAAATATTTTTAATACAATATCTGGGCAATATTATTAGTATAGATGATTCAAAAAAAAAAAAATAGAACAATTTTAATAAATATTGCTGTGTTTAGCAATTATTTTATAAAAAAAACATTTAGTGAAATAAATTAGATTAAATAAAAATAATAATAATATAAAAATTAATTAATTATTAATTATGTAATTGTTAGAATAAATGTACTTCACAATATTTTAAATGTATAATTTAAGCTAATTTATCATTTGATGATTATTAATTATGTATAATAATGTAATATTAATAATTTGCAATAAAAACATAATATATTATGCAGATTATTTTGTATAAATACTTCACAATTTACATTTCTCAATATACCTTGGACATTGTATACATTGTCCGCAGGGCCGGCTTTAGATACGATCGACGTGTGTGACGGTACAGGGGCGCGCGCGAGAGGCGTTAAAATTAGAAAATTTTAGAAAAATTTCTTTATAATTTCAGTAAAATTCTAGCTTAGAAAAGGATGAATTACTAAAATATTGCGCTGATCTCCAAATAGCTTTGATTGATCGGTTAGAAATTGAAGCAGTTTTTCTTTGCGACGAATTAATTAGCATACAACACTTCACCAAAATCAACGATTGCAATTCACCCCTCGATGTACTTAACTAATTTAAAAAAATCAATTAGAGGATTTATACCCCTTAATATGGATTTCATTAAGAATTTTGTTTACCATACCGGTCACAGTCGCAAGTGGAGAAAGAAGTTTCTCCAAACTTAACAAAAACTTACCTTAGGTCAAATATTGCACAAGCCACATTGACATCCCTAGCTACACTGATTATTGAAAATGCTTTTGCTCAAAATTTGGACTTCTCGGAACTAATTAAAGTATTTGCAGATAAAAAAGCAAGAAAAGTAAACTTACATTAGATTTTTTTTATATTTAGTACCTCTGTAACAAAGTAGTTTACTAATAATAAATTATATTTTATATTGATAATTACTATACAATAATAACAAAACTAAGAAAGTATATTTTTTTGAATTTGACTAATTTCCTTAATTTTTCCTGTTTAATGTTTAAAAAGAGTGTGAAGGGCTCCGACATAATTTTTGCACTGGTCGCTGAAAAAGCTAGAGCCGGCCCTGATTGTCCGAATATTCCACTTTACCCGTAACATATTATATATACAGATAAAAATATAACATGTATGTATAGTGTATAATAAATCTTTATTATCTTACATTCGAAAATTTTTTTATTTTGACCCCTCTAAAATATTACTTATGGGCGCCCATGTAACGGCCGTACTTCCGCGCATTAACTGATACTACAAAATAATTTTTAAATTAAAATACAATTTTTTTTCGACATTTTACTACCTATGACAGAATTTTGACTGTTAATAATAAATTATACAAATGAAAGAAGAAACAAAAAGGTAATTTAATAAAAACTAATTATTTTAATGCAACAGTTATTCTTTATCTAAAATTTTTAGGTGAGGCACCGCCTCACTTGCCTTACACCAAAACCGCCACTGGTACAAAATTAAAAATTATCAAATAATTAAGATATAATATATTACGAACCGTGGCAATTAGTTTAATGGTTATATATATTAACTTACACAATACACGATATACAACAATTTAATTATTATTTCGTGATTATTTCGTATGTACGTACTGAATATCATAAAATGATAAATAATAATATTTATCTATATTATATTAATATATTTGTATTTATATTAATTATATTAATAATAATATTTTTTTCATCATTTTGTGATAATCATTAAGTACATATGAAATAATTATAAAATCATGATTAATGGATTGATGAATGTACAATGATGATTGTAAATAATTTAATTGTTAATATATAATGGTTAGATATAATAATAATGTATTCGTGTATTAATATAATATACGAAATTAAAATTAATCAATTATTAAAAATATAACATAATACGTTATGTTTATTGTTTTATTATTTTTTTATTTTTATTTAGCCACGCGCCTTGGGATCCCGCCTTAAGTGAGACGTTTACATCGATTGCAGGATCTAGATCCTAGGACGTCTCGGCGCGAGACCGTTTCAGCGAAAATTATTAGTAAAAAAAATTGTAATTATAATGTAAAATTTGTATTTGATAATAAAATAAGTACCATGTTTATTTCAATTTATAAATTTAATAAATAAATAAATAAATAAATGAACCAAAATAGTTATAATTATTTATAGTTAATGTATGCGCTGTCGCGAGCTCTTGGCTAGCAGTTGGCTCGACAACTCGCACCGTATAATGGTTAAAAAAAAATACGAAGAATTTAAATTCACACAAGATTTAATAAATAGGATGACCTATACATTATAATATAAATAAAATAATAATTAAAGTATAATATTATTTATCAATCGATATTAGGTATATATACGTATAAATAAATGTACTGTACTACTGTGACTATTAAGAAGTTCCCTCGACAGCGCATATAAATCGCACGTAAATAAAAAATAATATGAAAAAAAAATATCGACCCCAGTGATAGGCTGAAAATCATAAAATTATCTGACTGGTTTACAGCCAGATCAACCATAAATTATTATCGACTATTGTTTTCGCTGCGACAGAGCTTACGATAGAGGGCAGTTTTCTGCCGCAACTTGCGCAGATGATAGACAAAGGATCGGGTGACCAACTTATAAATTTATTCGAAATACTCAAAATTTAAGAATGACAATATCACTGCAACGCCTAGCGTACAGTATACATATATATTACAAATAAATTATATATATGAAAAAGTTCGCATTAACTAATAATTAATAATATGCGGGCGCCCAGAGCATTTACATATAAGATAATATAATATAACAAATTAATAAACAATAATTACACCTATAATAATGTGCGCTAATAAAATTCTATAGGCCTTTAAGTACAAAGATCTTCAATGCCACAGGTATAAAAGAAAATATATAATAATACGTAATCGTATACTAATAATAACAATTGGGCATTAAGGTCATAGTATACAAATAATAATTTTACTGGCCACTGAACACGAGGGGACAAATATGAGTATAACAACAATGTAGGACCTGATGGCGACAGCACTGGACCAATTGGCTCCTTGACACCGATGACGACTGTAGCTGATGCAAACAAGCTCTTCGTTGACGAGTTAAAACAAAAATGACACCTCGTGATCACATGTGGTTTTGTTGGTTGCGACACGCAAAAATAACGGTTGACGAACACGTTGTTCTCAGGTCAACCGTTGTAAAAAGACAGGCACACAGACGTCGAGCTGGCTAGCGATTCGGCCATGGGCTTACGAACTGTCACCAGACAGCGGAGGGGGAGCTTGCTGGACACAGCTTTATCTTGTAGCCGGACACCTTATCTTTTGCCACACCTGTGGTGTCCCGAGGAGATATATATAATTTGGCCAAAAGAAAAAAACCGTTCCGCGATCGAACAACTATGTTCATAACAATCTCTCGTGTAATAATAATAACAATAATATTCGTACTAATAAAGAGATATCAAAATATTATTTCTATAACTCTCTGCACAGTGAAACAAACTTGTATAATTATCATAGACATAAGTTCATTGTTACGAGTATTTGGCCGAATGTATTACGCGCCGAAAAGTACCTTGACGTAGGTATCGCCGAAACGGTCTCGCGCTGAAACGGATGTCTTCGAATCGACATTTCGCCGAAACGTCCAGCGCCCAACTTTCGACGCCGAAACGTCCCATTCCCCCTACCCTGTACACTGCTCTTCGGCGGTTGACGACCAGTTAGTCGTTAGTCAGGTGTCACTAATCACTACTCCGTAGTCCGTACTCATTGCGACATTACTAATTATTGCTCTGTTGCTCACGACGGTCGCGTTTTGTTTACAGAACGCACTATAAATTTTGATTTTAATATTTTGTTTCTTTTTAAATATTTATTGAACTGAATAATACGGGTTCACTAAAGTCTATTTTTATCAGCAGTGATTATTCAATACGATCGAGATTTATTCGTTTTGGATAGGAAAACATGAGTGAAATTACTATGCCTGTTTCTCAGTTTCAAGTCCAACGTGAGTATAATTTAAAAATTAAAATCTCATAATTATTGTTTTGTTAATGTCATTGATGGTTATATTTCACTCGGTTCAAGTATAATGATATTATTTATTAATATTTTATAGATTGTTATTACGCAATAGCTTATAATGAAGGGGCTAAAACTAGAATTTTTTTTTTTTTTAACTTAAAATGTTTATTTCCACAATCTGTTACATTTAGAACCAATAAGTGTTAGTGATGTTAAGATTTTTTTATGGCTAGAATAACAGAATAAAGAAACCTTCCATTGAAGGCACTTTGACAGTTAATTAATTAAGTAATTTTTACAATATACAAGTATATACAGTTAGAATGAAATTAGGTTATATATATAAACATTATTTTTTATTTTTTTTTAAGTTAGCAGGACCTGGCACGGCGGCCCCACCGCCTTTTCAATCTTTTTTGTGGATTACCAGGAATGTTTGCTGACGCAAGGCTTTTTATTAAGGGATTTGCGTGGTTTTGTATATTAAGGTTGAATCGCTTATAGGAGGTTTTTGCTACATCTTGGACAGAAGATATGGCAAGATCATGGTGTAGGGATTGGTTTGAGACATAAAAAGGTGCTTTGGTTATAACACGAAGGGTTTTTGACTGGAAGCACTGTATGCGATTTATGTTCGAAATCTTTGTAGAGAATTAAGATAGTTTTTTTTGTATTACGAGCAGGTAAGTATAGTCGTTGCTGAGTAGTGTAGTGGCGTAGTGTTGCGAAATACAAAAAACCGAATTTGATTTCTTCAACAATTGTATTCCATTAAATCACTAAGATTGTTATATTGGCGTATATCGACTCCGCCGGCTACTCTTTATATTATTTACATATTTATTCGGCTGGCTACTGCTTATAATAATTGCATATTCATTCCGTCGGCCACCGGTCGTTTATCCTTCCATTGTAAATTTATTAAACCTAGTTCGGAAATTTTCGGAAAGTTACTATAAAAAAATAAAAAATACATCCAACCAACTTTTGACCACATTGTTCGCATTAAGATTAAATATTAATATTAATAATAATTTAAGTAATAGTTATTTTTTTCATAAAAGTTAAAAATTCTGTAATACTTTAAACAGAAATTTAATAATATTTATTGTTGATTTATTTTATCATAACAATACAAATATTTGTATAATTAAATACCTACTATAAATTTGTTATTTATTCTTAAGAGGCGCAATTAATTTTTTTAATTTCAGAGTGACGTAAACTAATAAAGTTTAGGAATCACTGCTATATATTTTAAATACATATACAATGGGGGGGGGATAAACAATGTCCGGCGGAATCAGTGTGTAAATATTATAAATAGTAGCCGACGGAATCGATAATTCCCCTGTTATAATTCAGTGGAACCCAAAAGCGCAAATCGTCTTAATTTTTTCGATAGACCAAAAGTGAAGTCATTTTGTGCTTTTGTACCTTAGTAGTGGGATAAATGCGCAAAAATAAATATTGTACTTTGTACTTGTTACACATTAAGTTTTCTTTTAAAATAATTAATTTTTCAGTTAAATTATTTATCTTAATTAACTACAGTGCGTGACAAAAAGGCGCTTGAAGAATATATTTAGTTATAATATACTATATACTACAAGTGTATACAAATTATGTTATTACCATGTTAATTATTATTAAGTATTTTAATTAATACTTTCTCATATATTTTTTTAATTGTCCTAATAGCCATAATTATCATTCCTTAATTATTATTTTACTATTTATATATATTATTATATAAATCGAACAAAAACATAAACTTGTTGATTTAAAAATTCTAGAAATAAAATAAAATAAAATGGAGATGAGCAAGCCTGGTAAATATATATATATATACATATATATATATATATATATATATAGGTTAAGATTTAATAAGAACTATTAGAATTATTTTACTATTAATTGTATATTTTATTTATAGCTGTAAAAAATTGCTCTTTTAATTTTCTTAATATTCCATAGTAATGGTTTAAATTTTATAAAGTGGCCTACTTTACATTACAAAAATGATAATTATTATACTAATACCCATAAAGTATGACATATTATATATTATATATATATATATATTATTTGCATCAGTGTGTCTATGTGAAGACATAAATGTTTTATTAATATTTATTCTTATTTTTATGGCCTCAATCGCCTCCAGCTGCAACACCAAAACCGATGGGTCCTAAAAGTACATTTATTTACTGTAGTTCATGCAACAAAAAAAATCATACAGTTGTTTTAAAGAAACATAAAGCTATTGCTTGGTTGAGTTGTTTACTGTTATGTTTGGGTGGGTAAGTAATAAAACAACACTTTTGATTTTCATTGTTATAAGTTATAATAATTTGGTCTAAGGAAAATATTTTCGTTTATACAGTGTAATCACGGTTTTAGATAACACCCAATATTTTGGCTGGATGGTCATTTTGTTTTAAAGTATATTACAATAGTTATTTAAGTGACCTGTTGTGGCGCGGTGGTTGGCCTCGGCCACTACAATGTGTTTTGAAGTCAAGCATCGGCCGGCATCACTAATCTGGGATGGGTGAGACCACCAGGGTTCTTACATACTTGTAACATTTGCGCGTAACGTAACGTAGACGCACTATTCGTAACTCGACCTAGCAACATCTATTGACGCGACTCGAATTTTCCGACAACTATTGGAACGCGATGTAACTTCGTTGCGCATCAACTTTTGTTACTCGAGGGTTTTACGCCTTTATACGTCCATACGTCTATTGCTGTTACACGTCTACGTTACGTTACGTGCAAATGTTGCAAGTTTGTACGCAGTTTTTGGTGACGAATCTATGGCCCAAACAGATACACGCAGAGACGTTCCAACCCTAAAAAACAAACCCGGCACAAAAAATCTACTGTTCCTATCCACAGCTAATAGCCTTAGTTGCCGGGTTTTTAAAATAAGATTAATAAAAAAATTATTTAAGTTAAATAATTATATTATGAAACATATTTTATTTTAGCAATGTAATATTTATGAGCACCATAAAATAGTTATGTTAATGATGTTTGCATTTATAAATAAAAAATTAATGAAAAATTAATAAAAAAAAATTAATATATAATATATGTATTGAAAGAAAAAAAAACATAATATTCTGTAGAATCAAACTTTGAGATTCAAAATTTAATTAGTAAATACAAACATTTTTGCATCATTTATCAAATACTTAACGTTTCATCCTAAGGGCTAAGATTATTTGATCTATATAGAAACTTAATAGCATTTTATATTCTACTCAGCTTCCAACTACAATATTATAGTTTCATTAATCGCAACAATCAGAAACAATGTTTAATAATTAAATATTAATCCACAAATTTTATAAAAAAAAAACAATCTATATTAATTAATTCATAAACACGCATTACTAAAAAATGAATACTCAAACAGTTTTTTTAAGAACTTGATTATAAGTTACGCGCATAGTCTTGCGTAGATTTGTGAGTCCTGACTCACAGAATTCAATCTGACCCCTCCCCCTCCGTACAGTCACACAAGAAAAAAAATTTACCATGCTCATGGGCAATAAGTTCATTTTTATTTTTGTAAATATCTATGATTTTGATTTATTTTGTTATCAATTTCCGCCTTACTACTTTCTTAGGTTCAAAGTACCTACCCATCTACGTATAAAAAAAGCTCAGGTGGGGTTAAAGCCCAATCAGCCTTAATCGTGTGCACGTCTATGGTTACACACATTTAGTAAACAATTACAAAATAATTGCAAAAAACTGATGACAAAATATTTAAAAAAATAAACAGTTGTGAATACTGACTAAAAACTTAATATTGGAGTTGATACATTGCAGCCACTATAAGAAATAAATAAATATTATATATATAAATAGTAGTCTTACTCATAGGCGAAACTAAACATTTTTATTAGGTCAGGCCAAATAAAATATATATAAAAAAATATGTGCCCAAATAATTATTAAAATATATAATATACATTATAAAAATTTTCAGCCAGTATTAGGTCATGCCATAGCCTGACTGGCCTGACCCGTAGTTTCGCCTATGGTCTTACTTATATACTTATGTTGTATCATAGTAGCTCTTTGTGGTTGCCAAATAAATAATATATTTTTTACTTCTATTTAATGATCAATTATTGTAGTTAATTTGCACTTAAGTATTTCTTAGATTTCCAACAACTCATTTCAACACAAGGTCATCTAGTCAAAATATTAAGTGGTTACTTAAAACCATTGTGATCACATTGTAAACATGTATTGTTTTATAATTATTTAATATTTTTACAAAATTAATTTTTTTTTTTTACTAATAAATAGTGTTTAATTTTATGTATGTAAAATTATATTATTTTTTTTTAGATGTATTTGTGGATGCTGTTTAATACCTTTCCACATGGACTCTTGCTCAAATATCGAACATATGTGCCCAGAATGTAAAGCTTTTTTGGGACAATACAGACCATAAACTAAAATACAACAATACTATTTAAATCAGAAATAGTTTACTTTTATTATTATTATTAGTAATACGACCTTACGCCTTAAAAAAATGCTTTAATATCAATAAAATGCACTAAAAACATTAAAAATGTTATTAATTTCGATAAAAACAAAATTTTGAACAGTTTTGTGTATGTATAATATTATTAAAACTTAAAACTTATAAAAAATTCATCATTATGAAAAATTTATCTTATCAAAAAAATATTTAAATATATTCAATAAAAAAATTTTTTTTGTCTTCTCGCATATCTTTTTTTTTAGTCTGAAAAATGTTTAATGTTAATTAATAATTATTAGTTATAGAGTTTAAATGTATTTTTATTTTTTTTTTTTTTTACCTAATTTATAATCTTTGTTACACTAAACAATAACATGCTGCTTAATATTTTCAAATAAAAATCTTCTACGGTTATCTGTGAGTGTCGTTTTGTATACTAGTATACTGAAAAACTTCGATCAACGTCACAAGAAGTCATTGGGGTAAACTTCATAGATGCCATATCATCAGCAGTTAGTTCTTCAGAAATGTCGTCTCGAGTTGTTGTATTTCTTTCCAAAATATTTGAAATATTTTCATTGCTATATATTCTTTATTTTTTTCAATTACTAACCTAACGCAGCTATGATGGCCCCAGCCGTAGTAGATAAGATCAAACTATCTCATCCCTCATCGGTATTAGAACAGGTTGCGGATGACAACATCAAAAGCCCGTCGGAACCGGACGTGGCAAAGTCCGATGTCTCCGGTCCGCCTGCTAGAAGATGTATATCAATGCCTAACATTAAGATAACCTTTACGACCGAAGTAATTGAAAAAGAGTCCATCTCGGTGGACATTTTGGAAGACGTTCCAACTGGCACACCAAAGGAAGAGATTGAGTCTGTCGTATATACTCGTAAAGCTAAAAATGTCGCCGTTCCTTATGGAAACAAACTAAAAAAATTTTTCGCTGTTTATTATGCTGCGCATAACGCAGTTCGTTACCTATTGTTTACTGCGTTAAAATTTAAGGTATAATATTTAATATTGTTTGGTTATATTAGATAGCTAGTAGCTATTAAAAATTGTGTTTAACATATATCAACCTTTTTGTTGTGTTATTTTATCGGCTATTAGTTCGTTCTATTTTTTATTATAAAATATGACAAGAATGTAGTAAGTTAAATCTCCTTAAAGTCTTTCGTGTTTAATAGGTACGTATGTGTATCACAATCATTTCAAACATCTACGATCTACCGATCGCAATGATTTAGTCACTTATCTCCAATAAGTTAACGACAAGCTTTTCAAAAAAACATTTTTATTTGAAATTAAAAATGTATGTTGTGGTTTCAAAAAGTAAAAAGCTTTATCAGAGGGAAGGCGTGAGTTAAAAATGTTAGTTAAAATTTTTCCTGTAATGATGTTTCGAGTTTTTACTATAGCTACTTTAAGAAAAACTTAGGGAAAACATAGTGTAGTATTTTTAATCCTTAGTTATAAACACAAAAAAATTTTATGATTTTTCAACTTCAAAATTATTTACAAATTTTCGCGTTTTCGATAGAATTCGTAAATATTTGAACTATAAACGTTTATAAAAAAAAAATTGTGACTAACGATTTTTAATTTTTTTTAGCTACAATAAGAACAACTCATAAGGAACCTTGTATTACATTTTTAAAATTTTTTGGTCATCCAACATTTTTTATCGACACTTCAAAAAAAAAATTCTCATAAAAATCGATAATTTCAGTGGTCTATAAATAACTCAAAAAAAGTAAAATTTTTTTGAAAATTAAACTGTATATAGATAACGCTAACATAAACATTTGGTGAAAATTTCAAGTATTTACAGTGATTAGTTTTTGAATTACAACGATATAAAAAAATCGATTTGGTCGAAAACTGGTTTTGCGTAAAAATTCCCGTTTTTCCCTCATTTTTTTTTTGTTTTTCTCGATTTTTTTGAAAACTGTTGGAAAATGTTTACTTTTTACCTCTATAATGCACCAAGGATATTCACTTTGTCATCGGAAACTATCCCCGAAGTTTGAAATTGAAGCATTATTTCGACTACTTATGCTGTATACAGACACACACAAAAAAAAAAAAAAAAACACACACATTGTAAAATGAATACATTCATCACTTCGTTGGGTTATTTAAAGTATAACACATCATTGTTGTTTAACTAATGAAGGCACCCGACTACAACAAAATTTAATGTTAATTTATTAATACTTAGAATAATCATGAATTAATTTTTTCTGTTAAGTTTATTATATATAGGTAGTTTTATCTATTCCAAATTTTTTCATTTATTTTTTTTTTATATGTATTTTACCGAAGTCGGGTTTTTTTTCGTAACGTCATATGTATGTCGTTATAATCGATATGATTTTAATTTGTCACACGGTACTCAATATAGATAAGGTTCTCATACAACCTAGTACCTATGTACGTTAATTTTCCAAGGTAAAAACCAATGGAACTTTTATTTTTATTTAATAAGAATATATAGTATTCATTACTCGTACTATACTGACTATAGGCTATACAATATATTCGTACTATCATTTACGTCTATTACATCTAATTAGTTATTACTTGTATAATATATATATATATGATTTCATTTTTAAAATAACACTAAATAATAATGAACACGAAATTAAACATATTTTTTCGTATACCTACGTGTTTTTCATATCAATAAATAATACATACCTTTTTTTATTTATAAAATAGCAATAAATAACTGATAGAAAATATATTTAAATTTTTAAAATAATACAAAATGTTTTTTTTATTATTTGCCTGGCATGAAATAGGCATTTATTTAAATGACTAGGCAGATAGTGAAATTGCATAAACATTAAATTCTTTGACTATATGCCTAGGCATTTAATAAAATGCCTGATTTTACCATATGCCTACAACATATGCAATAGGTAATTCATCATCTAATTGCTTTCTTTTTTCGAGTAATAATCGAAGCATATCTTTGTGAGCTATGGGTTCGAATTAAGTTCGAAGTTCTTTTTCTAAAACAGCCTATTTATTAAAATTTTGATTTTCAATGTTTTCATAAAAAGTTAGTGTTGGGCCCTCTAAAAAATGCAGGTAAATATTGCAATTTTTCTTGTTCAGTCCAACTATTAATAGAAGCTGCTCTTTGATATTTTTTTTAAAATGCATCTATGCTCTCAGATAAAGATCCAGAAAAAGTGCCAGGTTTGAAATAGGGTTTTTTACTATTCATTTTATTTGTTTTGGTTTGATTATTTAAGTTTTGACAATTGTCTTTTATTGTTACAAAATCGTTTGAGCAAGATTCTTCGTTTAAATATTTTAATAATCTGTTTTTAAGTTCTACAACTGTTCCCGTACTATTTAAATTTCTTTTATTTAACTCTGAAATTAATTGTGGTTTTTTTAAATTTGTTTATTTCATCTGATAGTGAAATAAAAATTGGTTCTTCTATTTCATTCTCTTGATCATTATTATTTTGTGACATTGGCAAAAATTTTATCTATTCATTTATTTATTTATTTTATTAATATTTTATTATCATTTTTTTGTATCGGGGATTTTTAATCGTGGTAAGAGCCACTAGGTGAGCGTCACTTTGTAATAATATGAAAAGGACTTAAATATATATATATATATATATTATTATGATGTGTTACTTTTTCTTCTTTCTGACAATGTTTTCTCTATGGGTGTCTTGAAGGTAACTGGTATGCATTAAAAAATTACAACACTTATTTTATTTGACTTAACTCATTAACTTTATTATAAAACTTTTAATACGTGAATATATATTTTAATTTTTACTATTAACAATCTTCAATGTTTATGTCTTCTTGTACATACGATCTGCGTAGTCTTTTACTCTCGCTTGTGATGGTTTATACAAAGAGACAATAAGGACACTGAGTGTGACTGGCGGTGACCGGCCTTTTTATAATTAATATCCTACGTGTGTGTGTATTTTATCTATTGTTTTTATGATCCGACCATAGGTCATTTTATTATATTGTAATTAAATATTTAATTTTTGTCTTACATGATTATATTAATAAATGACTTGTAGCTAAAGGTCATAATTATTTACTTTATTATATAAATATTTAATTATTATTGCTTGGAAGCACATCATTACATATTGTTACTTATTTTGAATTCCAACAAAAAACAAAAATCGGTTGGGAAGAAATAATTATTTTACAAGTGAATATCCTATAGTAAAAAATTGAATTTCTAACGTTCTTGAAAAATAATTTGACTTTCCAGTTAATTTTTTTATTATCATTTGTAAAAAATCTTATGATAAACTTTTGTTAATTTTTAAATGAGTTTTGTTGAAAACTGTTTTTTTGGATTTTTCCCACAATTGTCAATTGATTGTTTGTTTTTCCCTATTATTTTGAAAAATACTGAGAACCTAATGCACATATTAATGCCACTAAAATTAACTTATTTTTGTTTAATTCATGATAAGCTAAACATTTTAAATAAAAATATTATGTAATCTAAGTTATTATTGACACAACATTCACATGGAAATAAAGTAAGGAAAGTCTTCGTAAAAAGTCTAGTCTAAAATAATTATTATACAAACATTACAAACTACTGACATGTATTTATAACATAGGTTTATTCTAATATTTTATATTAAATTTATTATTAATAAAAGGTAGAAAGTATTACGAAAATAGTGGGGTTTTTATTTTGACCACCAAAATGTAGCAACGGTTTCTAATTTCATGGATTATACTTTTTTTTAATATATCTCTCTTTGACCCAAAAAATATACCACAATTAAACTATTCTTAAACTAAATATGGCCGTATAATATACGTTGAATGTCCGTAAAATGTTTATTGGGCCGTGCTTCAAACAGTTATACAATCAATACATCCCTTGCTCATAATTTGAAATGCATTATAATATATGTTAGGGTGACTTAGTGTAAATTGAAAATAATCTATTTATTTTCTATTAAATCGTAGTCTATAATTATAAACTTAGATGTATTTCGTAGT